GCCAGCAACAAAACACAGGGCTGTCCAGCCCAAAGCCAGCCAAAAAAACACAGGGCTGCCCAGCCCAAAGCCAGTAACAAAACACAGGGCTGTCCAGCCCAAAGCAAAAACAATTAAGCCAGGGCTGTCTAGCCCAAAGCCAGCCAAAAAACACTAGCCCAAAGCCAGCAACCCCAGACAACCCACATGGCTGCCCGGAGATAACTCAAGAACCCTATAGGGCAGTCCAGCCCAAAGCTACCAAGAAGCCCAGAAGCCAACAAGAACACAAAGTTTTTCAGTCAGCTGAGTAATAAGACAAAGCTTTTTAAGTACACTGATATGTCAAAAAACTTCAAGACTTAAAGGACTGTATTCCTTCTCAAATGTCAATCGAATTTTCAATCTAAAAATGTGTTTTTCAATTGAATTTTCAATCGACAAGAACATGCCTCCACTTGAAAAAGTATCATAAAATTCAAGTTTCAATCGACGCTTGAAATTTGTTTTTTATCGTGCACTTGAATTTTTTCAATCGAGGATGCTCTGGGATCGGATTGGTAGGGCGAGGGGCCAATTTTGAATTGCTCGCGCTAAGATTGATCCGGCAGGGATGAACGAAGCGATAGCGGCGGCGCTTCACACGTACGTGCACAGGCTGCAACCATTGCGAGCTACAAGCGATCTGCCAGTTGAATTTGCCCCTTGCGCACGTGGTTCAACTTGGCCATTGCTAGGTTGTTGTTGGCATCGCGCGTGTCAACGCGTGAGTTCTGTTCCAAGGTCTACTTGTCCAGTAAACGCGAAAGGAAAAGGAAGCCGTTGCTATTAGGTTTCATTCTTGTTTGTTTGTTTTCCTTTTTGGTTGGAAGCGTTTTCTGTTTTCTTTTGTTCTTGCGAATTTGCAGGTGCAGATGAGACGAGAAACGGAGCCTAGACAGGCCATCCTGCTAACCAAATAAGCGCTCAAAGATGAAGAAAAGTACTAAAAGCTTAAAGAAAGAAACTAAGAAGGAACGTTGCTTTTTTGTTTTTTCAGGTCGAAATGGCGGATCTCTCCGACTATTTTGCTCAAGGCCTTCGGCCGTCGCGTCGACAGAGCGAGCCAGAGGCGCTTTGTCCGACGAAGAGCCACGAGCCGTGTTCAATGTTTTGATTCTTTAGCTAAGTTTCTGTATGGTTTTAGGAGACATCTTTATGTCAAAAGAAAAGCAAGGTCACCTTTTTGTCAAAAGTGTTTTCGCCGAGGCTCCGAGAACCAGCCCAAAGTTGGACCCGAGGCGCCCGACGTCGTCTTTCGTCTCATACAAAACACAAGGACGAAATTGAAAAAACCGTTTTAAAAATTCATTTAAGTAAATCAGTCGAACAACAGCTTAATTTGCCTTAAGGTGTTCCTGTCCTTGGGAACCAAACATGTTTATTGAGAAAACGATTCATAAAGAAGTTTGAGATGAGAAACGTTGAGAAAGAAACGACAAAGTCGAAGAAAACCCAATCGGAGGATGGTCGATACGAAGAGCTACGGAAGGGGAACATCTTGGCGTCTGTGGACCGAGACTGCAGCGCGCGCGTTTTGCGAAATGTGTTTGCAGCATGTTGGCGGAAAAAATAAACCTATAGAAAATGACAGCCAACCTAGTAAGTTTTAAATAATAGTTTTCCTTTTTTTGATTTTTCTGATAACTCACCTGCTCGTTTTCATCTTTGAACATACAGACGCTACCAAGGGCAAGACGGATCGAATAGCTTTTGCTTTCATTCATTGCTCCAAACTGAATTCGATAGAAGCAGCGTTTGCTTGTTTCTTTGAGACGCATCCCGGGTGCAAACCGCAGGTTAAACTGTTCTGCCTCCGGAACCAAATCATGAGCGTGCTATGTCCAGTGACTAGAAGCTGAGTGGCGTATTAGCTGCCTCTTCTAGCGGCCTACCCCGCCCCTTCTGCCTCTTTGCTTCGCTTGGTTGTGAACGGCGCCGAGGGAATGCTCGCTTGCCTTCGGGACCGATCAAGCACACACTCTACATCAGCTTTAGCGGCGGAGTTGGCTGTTTGTCGAGCAGGTTCTGTTTTTTCCACAAGAATTGGACTAAGCGACCCACGCTATCACAATCGCTTGAGGTTTGAAGCGTCTTCGCGCAAAAAGCCGTGTCTGGAAACGAAAAGGGGCGAAGACAAAATGTGCGTGTTTTGTTTCCACTCATCGCCCCAGCATCGCCCCGCTGGGACCGAATCGGATCGCCGCTTGTTGATCAAACGATTGATGTATCAAACATACTTGCTGAAAAACTGCAACGAGGTAACCGTGGGGGTCAAAGTGGGCCAGTGAATCGCGCGTGTTCCTCGCGGTGGCGGGGTCCATGTGATTATTTACTCTTGTGACTTGGATCCTTTGTGTAAATTCGTGACAACATTCGATAAGGTGGGTTCCTCAAAACTTCAAGTTCGTTGAATTTATCTCCGATCCAGAATAGACCTTTTGAATTTTGGTGGCGTTGCCGTCTCTGGCCTCCGACCCCGTGATTGGTCCCCAATCCGGAATGGAATTTTGGAATTTTCGCGGCGTTGGCTTGTCTGGTCTCTGATCCCGCATTCCCGCTCTTTGGCTCCTCGTCTCCGATTCAACCGCCGCGCAGTTAGGTGGTTGAGGTGTTGGGCAGCGCCTCTCGGGTCCAACAACCTCCTTCGAGAAGTTCTTCTACAGCGTGAGCAGGGGGAGCAACCAGACATTGACGTCCTACTGCGAGTTAAGGTTACTGGACAGTGAGCAACATCTACAATCCCCAAACTAAAGTTGACCCTCCAGGTGGGCGCCCTTCTCCAGGTCACCCTTGTTCACAGGAAAACTGAAATCACATTGAATCACCTTTGAATTATCTATATTCTTATTTGAAACTTTTGGAATCTTATTTGCGCGCCTTTTGTAGAACTACGTCTCATCTACATCTATCTTCACATCTTCGCATCTGCACAGCTACATCTCTGCTCATCTTCACATCTTCACATCTGCGTATCCTGTCACTCTTCTTTAGTCTTCTTTTCTTTTTCTCTTAAGGCCGGGGACGGTGCCGCCGGAGCACCACGAAACGCAACCCTCTGCGGAGATCGTGCGTGTCGAGGGCGCGAAATGCAGGTGAGAGTGCGTTTTAGTTTGGTCGCGCGGAACCCTCTGCGGAGATCGCGCATGCCGAGGGCGCGAAACGCAGTTGAGATTGCGCTTTGAGTTGGTCGCGCTTCACTTTTGGAGGAAGTTTTGTACGAAACGCTCGTTTTGGAGACTTGGCGCTTCACTTTTGGAGGATGTCTCGTACGAAACGATCGTTTTGGAGAGTTGGCGCTTCACTTTTGCAGGAAGTCTTGTACGAAACGCTGGTTTTGGAGACTTGGCGCTTCACTTTTGGAGGAAGTTTTGTACGAAACGCTGGTTTTGGAGAGTTGGCGCTTCACTTTTGGAGGAAGTCTCGTGCGAAACGCTGGTTTTGGAGACTTGGCGCTTCACTTTTGCAGGAAGAAGTCAGTACGAAACGCTCATTTTGGAGACTTGGCACTTCACCTGTGGAGCTGGACTCAGACCTGGCCAGTTTGTAGTGCAAATGTAGTGCGTGGGTGAGCGGGATGATTGGCGGTATCGTGTGATATGATTGCTTGTTTTGTGTGGGCAGACCGTGTGGCGAAAATACGTTCGTGATGTCGCAGTGCCATCTCAGGTAGTTTTTGACGGGTCCCACCCTCCTGGAAGCCAGTTTTGGAAGGCTAATTTTTTGACTGCCAGCTGTTTTTTGTCTGGCAGCTTGTTTTTTTAGTTTCTGAAAACGTTTGCCAGCTAATTTTTTTGTGCTTCTGACTAAAAAAATAGGCTTCCAGCATTTTTATGTTAGCACTCCAGAAGTCAAAAATTGGCTTCTAGAAGCTTGTTTTTTAGCTTCTAGAACGGTAGCTCATAAACAAAAATGTACGCGTATATAATATATATAAATATATAATGTATTTAAATATACCATGGTATTTGCATCAACTCAACCATGTCATCAGCATTTTTATGTTAGCACTCCAGAAGTCAAAAAAATTTGGCTTCTAGAAGCTTGTTTTTAAGCTTCTGGAATGGTAGCTCATAAACAAAAATATACGCGTATATAGTATATATATAATGTATTTAAATATACCATGGTATTTGCATCAAATCAACCATGTCATCAGCCTGGCCCAAGCTCAAGGGCTTAGATCTTTTTTGGAAATGGTAGATCTTGGTTGGCGCTGGTATGAAACATGCTACAGCCAAGTGGCTCAAACCCAGGTCAACCACATGACAGGTCACGCCACACATACACACACACACGCCACAACAGCAACAACAATAAACACACACGTACACACCGCGACAGTAACAGCAACAAATTGTTATATGGCTATACGTGAGCAATATACACCCACACACACCGAGACACACGCAGCACACACAGCACAATAGCGCAGCACACGCGCAAGTGGCACAGCGCACACAGCAGACCCACAGCACAGTCGCCCCTTGCGCAGCCATGTTGCGGCTTTTGGCAATCAATGAGCCAGAAATGGCTCTTTTTGACTGCTGCCATGGTTCTGCTGGTGGAGGGTGAGGGTGTGGGATGATGAGTATCACTATGTCCACCCCTCAGGCTGGCATGAAGAAATTAGGCATGGGCCATGATGTGGGTCCATACCCATCATTGTTTAGTTTACTGTTCATGACTCATGACAATTACATACGCCAAGGCAAGACTTTGTCGAAGGAATCCACGATCAAGGACTATTGCTGGGCTCTTCTGCCACTTGCGAAGGTGGTGCCAGCACAATCAGTTCACCAAAATACTCTGTTCGCGGTTCTCCAAAGGGTTCTACCAGATTCACCAGAAGGAGTAGTTTGGATGGTTGTGTATGATTTGCGAGTACTGTTGCAGTTTCTTGGCACTGGCATATCTCAAATTGTGTGGTTTCAAATGCTTTAGCGTTGAACATGTGGATTTGTGTGGATCTATGATCTATGTGGGCCCATATCGGTCATTTGAGGTTTGTGCGAAAAGTAAAGGCGCAGATTGGCCACTTTGGGTCAGGGAGCAGGAGATGGTCCACGAGCTTTTCCGTACAATGCAACCCTTTGAGGATGAATATGATGTTGGGAAAGCTTGGGGGACAGATGCAACTTGTAAGAATATGGGTTTCAATTGATTGCATGTGGCCAGTGAACCGTGATGCAAATTTCCTGCGTCCAAGGAAAAAAACCATTCCCGTTGCTAAGACTTCTGAGGACTGCTTCATGCAACTCAACATGATCCAAGGTCACTGATACTTTTGAATTTATGAACTCCAGAGATGGTTCAAGGAGACAGAAAAAACACCACATGAAGTGCGGGCACAAATCTTGCAAGACCTCCAAGGGCAAGTTGTGCAGATTTTAGATGATCCTCCAAGCATTTTGCCAGCACTGGTGTGGTGCGCAGTGCGCTATTCCTGTTTTGCAAAGGGTTGCGTTCACGATGATCCGAGGCAGTGCAGTGGGCGGTGATGGTATGCCTGATCAAGAGTTAGCTGTGCAGTCCTCAGCCCTGTTTTTTGTGCCTAGCAGATGATTGTGTAGTTATTTAGTCTTAGGTTGGCCCCCGCCCTCCGCTCACTGTGGCAAGCTCTGCCATCACCCCGGAACCGCCGTTTGTTGAGGACTGCGCGTGACACTAATGTGTTGTGACAAATTTTCACGTTCGCAAACATGCTGTCAAGTTGGACAAGCCAGGAGGTCGCTCACCACGTAAATGTGGCTGAGATGGAACCTGCAGACCCAGCACGAACTGGGCTCAGTTTGTTGATATATTATCATATCAATATGATGACAAACTTGCGCGCACTGCAGATTTTGCACCATACCATACCAATGGTCAGGGACAAAGAGCCTTGCAGAAGAGCCCTAAGCCCGCCATTGCCAAAGCAAAGGCAAAGGCTAAGGGAGTGAAAGCCAAAGCCAAGCCAAAGGCTGCTGCAGACGGATCCGGAGCACCGCCAGTAGATGATGGCTCTTCAACATACTCCATGAGGAAGCGCGAGAGAAAGACTGCAGATGGACACATGAAAATTTTTGCCATTCACTGCATTGAGACTGGAAAGCAGATGGCCCAGCTTACTGAAGCTGCGTGTGAAGACGCTGAAAGCGTTGTGAGTAACCTAATTGTGCAACTCAATGACAAATCTTTGACCAATGCGGATGCAGTGGCCCGTTTGAATGAGATCAAGCAGTCGTGAAGATGGCGTGCAAACCATCAGCAGTGTTCGCAGAGGAAAACTCGCCCTTTCAATGCCTTAACACATGGCAACTACAAAAGGATTTCCAAATTGAAGAAGTGAGCACTGCATGACGAATGTGTCATAGATTTGGCATTTGTTGAAGTAAATGCAATGCAGGACGAAAGATAGCTCAGCTATCATCGGCGCCAAGTGCAAATGCTTCAGGACTTTTTCTATTGTAAACTGTCACGGCCCTATTCTGAGCACGGAAGTCGAAACACGCAGGATTGTTTTC